GCTGGGGCTTCATCTCAGCAGTTACTATAAGGGCTCTATAATATAGGGGCCTTAACAATTTAGAATAGGGTTTCGGGGCCCATTATACTATACTAAACCTAAACTGACCTTCGGATTCACGGTCCTGAGGAACCATCTGCCCTGCCAACCGGCCCAGGTTGGCAGCAAGCGGCGGCACTGCTGCCAGCACCTCCACGGTTTAGGGTTTAGGGTTTAGGGTTTAGGGGTTAGGGTTTAGGGTTAGAGAGCCCAGCACCCCTTTATGACGAAGGAACCCACCTTAAATCACAATAGCAAGCCCTCTATGGTCTCAAGTGTAGCCTCTAGCCCTGAAATACGGGGAATTGAGCTCTCTTGACAACGACATAAAACAAAGAACAGCGAAGCCGGTGCAACGCCAAACCCATCGGGATCCAGCAGCGTCTGGAGCCAAACTCCATGCGTATGACATAGGCTATGGCCAAGCGGCTTATAAAGGGGGCCTTAATAAGTAGAATGGGGTTTTGGGGCCCTTTATAGCATAATTCTAACAAGGAGCCCCATAGCGCCCCCAAGATAATATACCTTAAACTACCAAACCCTACTTTTTTGTAGGTTCTTATTATAAACCCTAATATGGAATTTATAGGGACCCTACAAAAAAGTAGGGTTTGGTAGTTTAAGGTAAGTAATTACTGAGGCCCCTAGATAAAGCGGTGGAGCTGTAGAGGGCCCCAGAGCTTCGAACCGAACCATCGAGCCTCACACCCGCGACGTTGTCAAGCAGCACCAAAGCCGAAGACTTGCCCTAAACCCTAAACCCCAAACCCCTAAACCCTAAACCCTAAACCCCAAAACCCTGAATCCTAAACCCTGAACCTTGAACCCTAAACCCTAAAGTCTAAACCCTGAGCCGCAAACCCTGAGAATCTAAAATGTACGCCGCTAAAGCTCTTAGAAGGTCCTACAGCCGGCATCAAACCCTAATAATCACTCTAAACCCCTGGAACCCTTCTATGAACACTCCAACTTCCAAAACTCCATACTCCAAACCTCCACCCCTATGAAGCTCCTGCCGTTACCCTTACCCGAAGCAACACTCGAAAACAACAACAGGAAAAGACCTCCGGCACGGAATCCTGAAGCGTTGCAGCTGCCCAGAGAGAGTTCGAGATCTCCTGCGTCAAAGGTTTAGGTTTTAGGTTTTAGGGTTTAGGGTTTAGGGTTTAGGGTTTTTGGGTTTTGGAGGAATGACTATAATGATCTGCTGAAGGGCGTTCTTGGGGTTCCGGGTATTGAGGGCTGTTTTGGAGCAATCCGAAGGTCAGGCGTACCTGCAACAGTAACGACCCTGCTGTTGAGTCTGTGGGTGCTGCTCAGGATCTATGCTGGGGTGCCTTGTTTCCTGAAACTTCCATACAGCTAGACCCTGCAGTGTCCGGTCAAAGACTTTCACATGACTTCGCAGGCTCTAAGGTGCAGGCTGCCCACACTCTTAAGCGAAAATCCCATTCAGGACAACCTGAAATGTCGTTTCCTCTATTAGACACCCAAAACGCCGCTTCACCTTACCCTAAACCCTAACTAAACCCTCCAACCCTGAACCCGAAACCCTAAATCCTACTTGGAGGGTCGGGGGACTTACCCACAGGCCCCATAGTAGTTCCTTTTTTTGGCTTTTTTTTTTAGTATCCTATTAGGTAATCGCAAAAAGGAACTACTAAGGGGCCTATGCGTAGAAAGTAATTAATTTATAGAGTTATAAGTATCATAACTAGTTATAAGTCTACTTATTACCAACTTACTAAGTCCCCCGACCCTTCAAGTAAACCCTGAACCCCAATTAAACCCTAAACCGTAACTAAACCCTCAACCCGAACCAAACCCTAAACCCTAAACCGCAAGTAAACCCAAACCCCGAACTAAACCCTAAACCCTAACTAAAGCCTCAACCCTTACTAAACCCTAACTAACGCCCCAACCCTTACTAAACCCTAACTAAAGCCTCTAGACTCTTAGCCTTGCGGCCAGGCCTGCGGGTTGAAGTCCTCGGCCGTGCGCCGGATCTCTGGCGCGAGGACTGCCGCCGCAGGCAGAGCCTCCAACCTCGACTTGGGTAGTTCTCTAAATTGGGGTCCCTTTTTAGGTCCCCGGTATAGTACGGCACCCTTATAAAAAGGAGCCCAAAAGGGACCCTAATTTAGAAAAACTCCCCACTTTCATTAAAGGGCCTAAGGGTTTCGACTCTCACACTCGCACAAGGCCGGCAAGGCTCCACCCCTTGGGGGGTTAGGGTTTAGGGTTTAGGGTTTAGGCTTAAGACTTTGATTATAAGAGAGCTCGAGGGCTTGGGTGTTTAAGCTGGGCGCTGCTCGGAGTTTTTCTTACAGTTAGGGGGTTCATAGGTTGAGGGCCTCGGGTTTGAGACCTTGCAGAGTTCAGGGCATCTATGGAAAAAGTACGGGAGTTGCGTTGCTGGCAAGAAAATAAGGACGTTCGTTGACCCTGAATGTGAGGCTGGGTTGCTTTAAGTTCTCGGGTTCCTGGGTTGGGCGCAAGAACTTGAACTCTAGATTCCTCCACTTGGAGGTTCATGGGAAGTTATAAGTGGGGTAACTGTACTTATAAACCATATTAGGAGACATAAAACCCCACTTCGAAACTACCCATGAACTTCCAAGTAGACTTCAGCATTGACGGCTCCAATTCTGCATGGCGGAGATGCATGCACTTTGGACTCGTGTCCGGGCTTCGTTGCTTCAACCGAACTGCGTGCCTTCCGGATTTTATCGGATCTTTTGCTTAGGGTTTGCAGGGCCTCAAAGGGTCTAAGGCAGCTGAAGGTTGAGACAGAACGGACATCGGGCCCGGGCCTGGTACGGGTTCCCATTATTCTTATGATTGTTACTACGATTGTTATTCTTAATCTTATGACTATTACTTCTATGGTTATCGTTCTTCTTATTACGATTGCCTCAAGGGGGGGAGGTGTATATGTAAGGGGGATGTTGTATGACCCAGTAATCCCTTACTTGGAGGGTCGGGGGACTTAGTAAGTGGGTCATAAGTAGACTTATAAGTACCCTAGAAGGGATCCTAATTGGGGTTATGATACTTATGACTCTACAACCTAACTAGTTACTAAGTCCTCCGACCCTCTAAGTAGTCACTCCTAGGTGCTCTCTAAAGGGGGTTCCCTTTCGCCTCGAGGGCTTGCTAAGGGCTAGACTCCCTGGTATCGCCATCCCCTAAACGATCAGGCCAGCGGCGAGCCTCCGAATATTTGGGGTTTAGGGTTTAGGGTTATTTGGAGTTTAGGGTTTAGGGTTATTTGGAGTTTAGGGTTTAGGGTGACGGCACTACGTTAAAAGCGTTGTCGGCGAAACAGATGCACGCGCAAGCCAAGTTGCTAGCAAAACCTGCTGGGCCAAGTGACGACAGCTCTGCCAAAGTAGCTGTTGCCCACAAGCTGTTGGAGAGATCCTAAGTACAGGGACGCCAAAATCAGATCAACTGGGCTTTACTGGCCGTTTACAATCTAGTGTTATAATGTAAATATGTGTACCAATGTCATATGTGAATGTATATCTATACACACACTGAACGTCTCTCCTTGCCATGGCAGACACGTGCCTCGGCTTAAACTTTGCCGAGCACACCAGACACACGGCATGGCCCAAATGTGCGAATGCTCCGAACCCGGTGATACTTCGATATAGGTGGTTATCAAATTATGGTCCCTTTTTGGGTCCTTATTATAATACGGCACCTATTATTTAGGGTACCCCAAAAGGGACCATAATTTTGACAACTACCCAACATGACACTGACTAGATTCAGGGCTTAAGGCTCTAGGGTTTCGGCGCCCTTACACTCGGAGAATCCAGGCGAGGCCTGGGGTCATGAGTCGGCTGTGTGAACGATGCTGTGGAAAGGGCTTTAGGGCACAGAGTTCAGTGAGGGTAGCTGTAAACTTCAATTCAAGACGGCGCTGAAGCCCAGGCATTTGGAACAGTGAAACTTACAGACACTGTTCTTGCCTGCTGGCTCCAACTAAGGTCCTAGGGTACCCCACAACAGTATTGGTAATTCTTTGGGCCGCTACATCAGAATGCAGAGAAAAGCTTCACTTTGTATGTCAGCCAAAGCGCCGAGGAATCTTCAAACCCCTGGTCCTGTAGCACCGACCCTGCCGAAAGCAATTCTGATGGTCTGAAGCGAAAACAGCACCTGAAATCTTACCGTACCCTGCTGTTCCGCATGCGTGTGGAGCCAATCGCACCTGTACGTACATGCATGCACCTAGGTATATACACTGAATCTGTTTAACTCTACTTAGAAGTTCCGTGTATGCATACAAGCATTTGATCGAAAATCCCATTAAGCATGTCCAGTACTGGCAGTTGCAACAATCCACCACGGCCGTCACTGGCCCAGTGTGCTCAACCAAAACCTGACGCGTTTTCAGCACCAGCGTCTTGAGCAGACATGTCGGCAACGTGCTGTGGCAGCTGTGCAACCAGAGCCGCTACCTTGGTGGCAGCGACGAATCTAGTTTAAGGGAGGAAGACTTGTTCAGCGGAAGTCTTTGATTAAGAAAAAGAAGCGCGACAGGGGACGCTCAGGATGTCTTGTGCTTCAGCGCACCGGGATGTGTAATGGTGTAATGTACGGCCTCGGCTGTGCTATGTTGGTCAATGTACTGAAGGTTTATTCGAAGTTGAAAATCCGCATGTGTATACATTTGTGGGTTGCAAGAGCATGGCAACCAGGGTGCTGCAGCTGCAAATGCGCAGCATCTTACTTCAGAGCAGCTGCGCAGGATGAACTACAGAAGGGCATCGGGCTCACCCTAGAATGCTTCCCGGCATTCATACATCACCTAAACCAATACTGGGGCTGATTGCGATTCAGGTTTGCGAACCAGGAGTGACTAGGAAATTTGTCAAGGTTCCTAGCCACCGTTGATGGACGATTAGCGTTGGCTATGAACTCTGTATGTCATGGGCAGTCACCCAGTGCTCCCGGCATCCGTGACATTGTAACTTACTGAACCTGTCTGACGGCACCCTGAATTCCAGCACCTTCGACGAGTTCATATGCCTCTCGGCCAGAAGCCCAAGCCCTAAACCCTATCTACTCAGCAGAACGGACTTTCCATACACGGAAGTTTCCTGCATAACTCAGCTACTAGCTGACAGCAGATCCAGCTCTGAGGGCTCTGAGGGCGCGACAATAAATAAACGTGCTTCAGGAATATATCTTAGAGTACCTAGTACAGAAGGCTTCTTCCTCAAAGTACATTCTGTAATTAGTGAGTATTGGGGTCTCTGGGACCCAAGGAAAATCACAAACAACATCATAACACTCAAGATAATACTCACAGCCATAAGAAGTAGTGATAATGCTAATAACGAAAATAACAGCAGTATTCGACCACAATACTAATAAGAATCATGAGAACAGTAGCAGTAAGAACAGATAATAACAACTAATCACGCTTGTGATGAAGAACGTGCCAGCCGCAGCAAAACCGCAATCCCGTACCCAAAGCGCATCCAAAGCGCCGCGATGCGCAACTCAGGCATTTCAGGGAGCTTCGCCAATGCCCAGAAACACATGGCGAGGTCGCGAGGACCCATCTGAAAAAAACAGAGCTTGGGTAAGGTTTAGGTTTTAGGGTTCATGATGTAGCGTTCAGGTTAGCGAGGCCAGGACAAAGATCTACCTGCAAGAAACATAGCCTACTTCTTGTTGCGAGGATCCCTCTGATGTATGAGCTGTTGTGAACTAAGGGTGTCCATGTGGGTTCTTGGAGGTTGGGGTTAATGTATGAGCCTTAATCTTTAGAATAGGGTTTTGAATATTTTATACTACAATTGCAATAAGGAACCCCCAAAAATAGTATAGGTAATGATTAAGGCCCCTAAATGAGTTAGGTCCATGATTTCGGGTCAGATTCGGACAACAGCACTCCCCAACCCTCCAACCGTAAACCCTAGGCCCTACCCTGTAGCCGGAAAGACCTGCCTTCCTTAAGGTTCCTTCTTATGGTTTCTTTTTTATAGTCCCTTACAGAGGTATAGGTCGTTTCGGTTACAGCTAGTCCCTAGATTGTTACACCCTGCACCCTACAGTAAACACAAGCCTCGTAAACCACTCTAGTCGAGGGGTTCGTACACTCTCTGGGCACCTGTCTGACTTCGCTGCCCAGGCGAGCGGACAAGGCGGGCAAGGTCTCGAGCACGCTGGGTGTGGACGCCTGCAGGAGCACTCAGATTGTTGTTTGCATTCCTTTACGGGTCTAATTAAGGCTTTGAGGGTTTAGGGTGCTTGTTTGAAATCACTTGAGTTTTTTTGTTGAACTCCCTTCTCCGACGTTTGCATTGCTTTACGATTCTAATTAAGGCTTTTAGGGTTTAGGGTTCTTTTTTGAAATCACTTGAGTTTTTGTTGAACTCCCTTCTCCGACTGCAAGACGGATCTTCAGACGAAGGGCTCACTCACTTTCAGTTTTGGGGTTTAGGGTTTAGGGCTTTGGGTCTTTGATGTTGGGGGTTCAGGGCTCTTAGAGTTCAGGGGCTGAGGGTTGACATAGCACTACCAGGAGGCTTCGGGGGTAGGGGGGCTGTGGGGGCATTAGGGGAGGTACGGTTTAGGGTTTAGGGTTTAGGGTTTAGGGTTTATAGGGTTTGCAAGGAGCATCGCGCTAGGCCAGGTGTCCTTCTGCGGGTTACCCAGAGGTTTCACCTGAACTTAAAACTTGCAAAAGCGAAGCAGAAACCTGTCCATGCAGGTTTGTGGGTAAGGAATTCAGTCGAAGTTGCCAGAATGGGGGATGAAGGATAAACAAATATAGATCCTCTTACGGCAACTTGAGCTCAGTTCTTTACTAAGAACTCAGACGTAGGCTTGTCTCAAAAAACGAAGTGACAAGTCTTTCCAATGGCCACGCTGCTTCCCGCACGGCATGTACTTACAGAAGAGACTACTACGGTTGATGATATAAATCCTGCATTACCCATAATAAGGAATATGCCATCATTCCCAAAGTTTAGGGTCCTTAACGTCATGCAGGGTTTCTATCATCAACAGCAGGGCCGTCCTTAACATGAACGAGACGGACAAGTACATCGAACAAAAACCAGAACTCAAAGGCCCTGCATATGAACCTCAAGCCCTAAAGCCCAAATCTCGCCAACATTATTGTTTGTTTTGTCCAAACCCTAAGCCCTAAACCCTAAAACCCTAAACCCTAACGGCCCTAACCTAAGTTCTTAACCACTAGCCCCAGCATCTAAACCGACTCCAAACCCCAAAGTACAAGCGCCCCCGACTGTGGGGGCCGTAGTAATTAGAATAGGGTTTTGGGGGGTTCCCTCTCATAATTATGGTATCGTAATATGCCCCAAACCCCGTTCTAATTATAAGGCCCCTATCCCTAAATACTAAACCCTAAACCCTAAGCCCAAAACCCTATTCTAATGATTAAGGCCCCTATATTCGACCAAAAACACTGAACCCGGCCTTCAGGCAGGCAGTGGCCCAAAGGATGCTCGTCAGCTCCTTTTAAAGTAGCTGCTACCGTGGGTTTAGGGTTTAGGGTTGAGGAGTTCGTTATACACCTGTTACACTGTTACAAACAATGCAAAGGTCTCCAGTTTGCGGTTTTGGGCAGTAGTAGCACCTGGAAATCCGATTGAAATTGCACCAAAATCGCCCCCAAAGTAGTAGCCCCTTATCATCCCCTTCAAATTACACCATAATCCCCCTCTAAGAAATTTAGACCCTGCTCTCCAGGTCTTCGGGTGTGGCAGTTTGGGTTTTTGGTGTTCCTGGCCTTGGGCTCTTAGGGTTTAGGGGTTTCAGCACTCACTCTCGGACAATCCTAGGCGAGGTTCCTGGTACACGACGATTGCACTTTGGCACGAGAGACGGCCGGTTTAGGGGTTTAGGCTATAGGGTGTAAGGTTGAGGGTTTAGGGTATTTTGGGACTTAGGTTTCCCTAAACCCTGAACCCTACACCCTAAACCCTGAACCCCAAACCCTAAACCCTGAACCCTAAACCCTAAACCCTGAACCAAGGCCGCGTTTCCTACTGGAGGAACTGATGGTTGAAGACGCAGCCTCTTGGAAGCAAAGGCTTGGTTTAGGGCTTAGGGTTTAGGGTTTAGGGTTTAGGGCTTAGGACAACAAGAACTCGCTCTGACAAGGCCATGCCTTTTCCATTGAGCTGTCGTTAGATGGAACTTTCAATCTTGGCAGGTCTAGCACCGTCGAGCATGGGACACAGAGTTCTTGATGGTCAGGGATCGATGTGTCTTTGTGTTAAGAATCATGAAGACCCACAGTTAGGGTGAATCTGAAGGTCCCGCGCAGTGAAGTCCACGAAGTTGTGGGCAATCCTTTTCGCGATAGCGGGCACCATGTGGAGCACAACTGAGCTCTCCTGCCACAAGGGGGAGGGGAAGCTTTGCTACAT